AATTTTTTCATCAGGTAGGAAAATGCCTTTTTAATAAGCAGACGTGCCTTTTTTTTCTTTGATTGCCTGTCTCTGCAACTCAGCATTTGACACAAATCTTTTCTTCGAAAGGGAAAAAGCATAAGCAGCCAAGGAAGAAGGTATTTTTATTGCGTTGGATTATGCAAGATTTTGGCCAGCCTCCTTAGCTTCATCTGTTTAAGGGTTCATTTTCGCTTGTTTGGCACAAGTCCCAGCAGAGACCTTCAGAATTGTGGTTAGCAACATGAATGAACACAAACTTTGGGAGCTCTTCAATAAGTAGAGCTGGCCAACTGCCAAAAATACAGTTCCTTATATGGGGTCAGGGCAAAGCTGTGATTCGGTGAGCCCCCTATTGTATAGAAAACATACTTGTAATGGCTGTTTGCGTTCTTTAAAATAAAAACAAAACAAAACAAAAAAACACCAGGCTTCCAAGTCTATCAAAATAGGAAGTAACAAAATAGTGTGCAGGTTTTACTAATGATGGAGTCTAGCAAAGGAAATATGGCTCTGTGTAGTTAAACTATAGAGCTGAAAGTTGGACCTTTTGACCTCCACAGCCGGCTTGTGATGTAAGGAACCCAAGCATTTGTGAGACATCTGTTGTCTACCTGCCCTTATTTTGTAAATGGTTTAATAAGATTAAATAATTAGTAGGATAACCACATGGTCGCCATGCTACTAAGTCCTAGCATTGAGTGTATACTTAAGGATTGCAAGGAAGTCTACCCATCCTGCTACACTGCTGTTGTTTTAAACTGCAATTTACGTATTTTTAATATTTGTGACAGTAATTTTTTTTTATTAGGGGATTTTTTAAAATTAACAGCCAATGACAAGTAAAACACACTTTAAAACCCAGTATATTTTCAAAGTACTCTAATTCTATTTCTGTACTCACAGAGGAAAAATAGGGGTTTCTTTTAAATACATGAAGCTTTTGAAAATCATTCAACTTTAAAAAAAACTAATCATTGTGCATTAGGAAAGCTCTTTAAAATATATTTAGCATTTCTTCCCCTTTTTAAAAAAAAGGATTCAAGTTTTAATTGGTTTCTTGCAGGCAAACACTCTACCTGGATCTTCTCTCAGTCTGCCTCCATCCCACATGTATGGCAATAGGCTGAATCCAAATTCAGCAATGGCAGCACTTATAGCTCAGTCTGAAAACAGCCAAGCAGGTAAGGTTCCCGCTGCTGGTGACAAATGTGCAACTTTACAGGCTTAAGTATTTTTGAAAAGATTGTTAAATTTTACTTTTTAACTCCGCTTAGCATTTGGCTGTTAAATGTCTGTATAATGTAGTTATGTGTTGGAAGTAAATTCTCGGTTGTCCTGAAGAACAGTGTGGGTTTTCTTCACCGCCTGCAGGCGCCCCCCACCCCCCACCTTTTTTTTTTTTTTTTTTTTTTTTTTTAATGTAAATGTTTAAGCAGAGCCATCAGCAGGCAGGAATGCAACAATGTCTCCTGTGACTTCTGTGATTGATGTGTTCAGTTCGGAGCTCTTTGCAACGAGAGTAACACAGCTCTGGGTTTTGCCGTGAATAGTTTAAACCTTTATTTGCATAATTCATGAAATTGCATTACATACAACTTCGTGTGAAAGAGATCCCGTTAGAGAACTTCTGCAGCGTTTAATAATCTGGTGAATATTTACCGATTGGCATTTTGTACCGTTGGCTCTCCTCTACAGTTTTAATGAGCCTCTGGCTTTGCTTTGTTTCATTCCCTCCGTAAGGATTTGTTGACATGTCGTAGTAGTCATGCCTGTTTGGGGGAAGGGAATGAGTTTAGCAGTTTACCAAGAATGGATCAGTCATGTCTCTGCCCTCCAAGAGGTCGGAGGTCGCTTGACTCAGAATAGGGGGAGGGCAGCCTTGAAGGGGGCAGATAGGGTTATTTTATTGAGAGGCCATAGGGAAAATAACCCTTTTGAGTCCTTCCAAGCAAAACGTTTTGGTATATTTAATGAGGCCTTTTTTGTTTGTTTTACTACCTTTTTAGCAGGGGACTTTCCTATGCTTCTGCTTATAAATAGGAATTAGTGAATTACACGCTTTCATAAAGTTTTCAGTAAATTTGCAGAATAATGTGTGGTTGTTAGATGGCAGCGGTAAGTTTAATACGTTATATACTTTATGAGTTGTTTTGGGATGCAAAGTGTTAAAAAAATACAGAGCATCAGGATTTGCTGTGATAAGCATACAGATTAGCTGTCCACAGCTGTGATTCATTACTTTCACCGTACAAATTAAAAGTGGCTGAGGGGAGGGTACTGCAAATGCAAACCACGCTTCTGTGCTGTAAAACTGAAAGGAATGAAAGAAGTGAACATAATCCATGGCCTGGTACAGCCTCAGAAATGTGTAAGGACAACACCTTACATGCTACAGTTCAGCAATCTTAAACTAGTTACGTATTCACTCTTCAGCAGTAACTACAGATAGAAGTTGAGATTTAAGGTATTTTAAAAATATCTACATCAGCTTTAAAACTCTTATCTACGAAGAGTCGATTTATCAGCTGTGAAATATTTACACTGCAGATCAAGATCTCGGAGATAATAGCCGAAGCCTTGTTGGCAGAGGAGGTTCACCCAGAGGAAGTCTCTCACCACGGTAAGCATTATTTACATTGGAGGGTGCAGGCAGAGGAAATGTTTTAAGATTTGGAAACTTCACTGTCTTTTTACTACATAAGTGTTTTAAAAGCCCATATATATACATACACGTACATATACATTTATTTTTAATATGGATATATCCATGTAAAAAAACCCCCAATATGTCCAGATAGCTAAAAATGTGCTGAAATTTACATCAGCTGAAATTAGGTTTACAAAAGAAGGATTTAAATCCCGCTAAAGCAAGTCTCTATTTCTTATCTATCATTTGATCCACATGTACTACTTTATTGCCTCAGATTTGTTATCATAATCAGATTTTTAGTCATATTTGCAAAACTTCCAAAATTCCATAGATTTAGACTACAATAATCCCAGGAATAACATGGTCTGAGAATTTAAATATCAGTACAAATTTCAAACAAGTATTTTCTTCCCTTTCCCTCACCACTTCAAAATATGCAGCAATTCTCTGTGTGTGTGGGGGGGGGGGGCTGTCTCTTATAC